TGGGCCCGCAATGCTTATCGGTGAGTTTCTTCGTGTTTCTCTCATTTCCGTTCACCTCGTCCAACAATCAGCCGTATTTGGCTGAACTGTTGCGTTTAGCAAAATAATTCCGATGTAGATTTTAAGGCAACTTAAGACAGATGAAGTGATGACTTCGAATTAGGGATTTTCTTGTATTGAAATATACCTTAATCGGAAACTTGAGATTATACCCTATCTGACAACCATAAAATTTGTTAACAATGCTGGTTAAGAGTTAGTTTACTGATAGCGTAAATGCGATACTCTTTTGATACGCAAGATATTCCACATTGCACTCGTGTTGATCAATTGTTAACCATTAGAAATGGTGGGTGGCACTTGGTTGCTTCCGAGTATTATTTAAGATCATCGAACGAGAAAACAAATGAATAATTTTCGAGGAATGTTTCTCATCCATCGAGATATCTGCCTTACTGATAGTTCAAGTCATACACTTTGTAACTGCTATGATGCGTCGTAATCTCGTTGACCAATCATGATTACACATGAAACCTGACTATGCTTCCACGAAAATATCAGATTGCATAATCTGCTTTGAATGTATCATAAACAGTAAATGATTGACTCATAAATAAATAAGAGAGACGGATGAATAAATAAGAGACGGATGAATTGGTATAAATATCAGTAACAGTGATAATAGAACTAACTTGTGAAAGTAATCAGAGGTAAGGTATGACTTAAGAGAATCAAAAATCTTTGCTAGTTTATTTAGGAGATGTCGCAAAGGTCTCGTATAACAGTGGTGATAGTTTCAGTGAATACTTCGAATACAAGCCCAATATTTGTGTTTTCAATGGCAGCTAACTTCTCCGGTGCTCTTGTTGTTTGAGTAGCCTATATCCGCCATTTCAGAGATGCTACTTGCTGAAGTTTTCTGCCCTATTGTGATCAATCCAAACGCCGAATTCTTCAGTTGTTGATGATTTGTAACAATTACTTCAAATGTAAACAGAGTGCCCAGCTCATTACTAAATTCAATAATTGCCCATCAGTCAGCTAGTTTCCCCACTTTTATTTGCCCTCCTCACCTGAACTGCTTCACGTTTGTGATTGACCAACCCGACCGTATCCACCTATGCTCATCGATTGAGATACACTGTATCCTCGTGTATCTTCCCACTTCTCACTTTAATCAAATACCTCAAAACTATGTACAACACGAGCCACCACAGTATTACTACGTCGCAGCCGTATGATTTCGTAAATTCACTTAAATTGCTGGATTACACTCCCAGAACTGTGGTACCCAAAACTGTAACTTTTAATGATGTATCGAAAACAAGGTATCCAATGTCCGTTTATTCGATATGTTACGATTTTTTCCATGTTACTTATGTCTATCGGATAGTCCTGCAGTATTGCGACTGAAAGGATTCCGCAGATTCCTTCTTGATGTAGATAAATTCAAAGACATTCGGCTTGACTGTTTTGCAAGCTCTCGATTGCTTGAATGCCCGTCTTGTTTTGAAATATCGTTGAGTTCTCNATTGGTGAATCACAGTTGCTGATTGACAACTGAACGTTGCACTTTTGATAACGTTACAACCACTGTTCCAAGCACAGCTGACATGGATTTTTTATTAGCTATCATAAATTTTGTTCAAAAGGAATTCATTTTCAGATTCTCTTTGAATTCATTACGATGATTTGAGAATTTTCAGATATTTGCATGCTCATGACTATGAATCATCTCGGCCATACTCATATACACGTACGTATGGAAACACATCCTATTATACACCACCGACAATGGCTGCTGAGTCAAGTCGAATGACGAAATCGCGTAGTTATTCGGGTTATACGTATGTTGGCGCCGAGCATAGTTACGACATAGCGTCAAGACCTCGATCGTTGACCGATTATCATTTCTGGAGGTCGCATGTGGCAAGGTTTGTCTAATTTTGCAACTGTTTTTAGAAGATGATTTGAAATCTGAACGGTGCTAAAAGTGTACTGAATAAAGCATACAAATTACTTGGATTACCTGGATTGGCCAGGCTATGAAACGCTTATAACGTTGCTGGCCACAATGCTCGCGTTTCCGTGCGCATTGTTTTAGCCTTGATTCACGCCACCCCGCTGGCTAGGCGAGCAGGCCAAGTGAGCACAACCGAGTGTTTAATTAGTTGCCGTGAATACTTTGCATAATTAAACGCAGCCAAATATCAATCCAGTAAATAATCACCACCCTACAAAATAAATATTCCGCCGATCGCACACAACGATCAACGAAACTATGTATTGTTAACTGATGGCAAACAACGGAAATGTTCAACTCACGAATCGCATCGCTGATCGATACGCGTTTTCAGTTCGCCGTGGTATTGGACATACTATGGCAATAGTGGCTTACGACACTATAACAGTTATCGTCCTCGTGCTTACACAAGTCGACTATCAACTTATTGGACACCGTATTTTTAGACGACGATTAGTTACGGTGGTGCATGATTGAACAACACAAAAAAGTTAAAAATTCAAATGGTCAAAAAACAAAATTCGGTTTGGAGCACACAGCAACACCTTCTATAGTATTGCTTCTGTTGATGTGATGAACTCATTTGTGTTCTTAGCAATACTCATCTATATTAGTATAGCTTCAAACTGGCTCAAAACTTTAATCGCACTACTGTCATGGTGCTTAAAATTGTTGGGAATGTTTTAAATATGAGAATATATACCGTTGCATATGAATCTTGAACAGATGTTAAGTCGAGAATGTATGAAGTTTATAAAGTTACACTGCAAAACTCTTAAATTGATAACTTTAAAGTAAATCAAATAAAACATGTATATGGCTATGTGCATTTAATGTATTATCGGGCGTTTGATAATTATCATTAGATCGATTCGAATAACTGCCATATTAAATTAACGAAACAAAAAACAATAAGTTTTAACAAATTGCGCTCTTTATTTGAAAAACATTCTATAGATAAGCAAATAGTTTGGCAATGAATTTCTCAAATGTATTTGTGATTGGATATAAATTGAGTTAAAAATTTAATAAAGATTTATGCGCTCGAGATTTCCAATTGTTCCGAGTCTTAATGTGAAAGTGATTCAGTGAGAAATGAATTGGTAATGCTAACATGAGATTGCCTATAAATTATAAGTTCTTCATGATGATGATATACTGTTTTATATCGTTCATTATTGAGTGCTTGAAGTAAGATTATTTGATTGCTTCGTATTGTTCAATGAATCACTTCAGAAACCTTACAATTAGAAGTTTTCATCGTTACTGATTCTGGTATCATTTTTTTGAAAGCAGAACATCTTCATTATTAGTATTATCACTATTATTGTTGGTATGAAAAAATAATAGTGCTTTTATTTTGACTGATATTGCTTCATCAGAACGATTTTATTCTGAAAAGATTTGTTCTTCGTCTTGTTCTTGTTCATCATCTTCTTCTCTTTTGTCATTTTTGAAATTGTGATTGGCAACCACCGATAATGTGTTGTGATATTTGAGATTTTTTGAAGAAATTTTTATTTTTTAACTGAAAAATCGAATTTTTCTCATTCAACAGTAATTATTTTCAATCTTTTTCTTGTCCGAACGAATGGGTGTAATTCGATCACCGTTTGTTCACAAATGCATCTGTTCGCATGCTTCTGTATTTCTTGAAGTTCTCTCTCTTTTTTTTTTCAAATCATATATAAATGAGTTCAAATAAAAAACGTAACTCAAAGCAAACGATTGAAATCAGAATTTATTCTGACAATGAACAGGTGAAAATTCTCACTTTTCATGTAATCAACTTTTTTCATTCATCGACTCTGACGCAGTGAATGACAAATTA